CGATAGAAAAAAACTCTGGGGGGGAAGGGGGGATGGAGCCGGCTCCTGGCCAGCAGGCGTGAGGGGGGGATGTGGTACCCCCTTCCCAGCAAGGGTCCCCCCCCCCGCCCCCCCCCCCCCCCCCGGGCCGGGGCGGTTGCCCCCATCCCAATGGGGCTGGATAAGGCCACGGCATGGGGCCGAGCATGCAGCCCCCATGGGGCTCAACCCTCCTCATCCTCACCCCCCCCGGCTCGCAAGGGGCTCGGGGCGCTGCTGCAGGAGGATCGGTGTCCCCCTTCATGCCGTGCCCCCCCAGGAGGGGCCGGGTGCTGTAGGAAGGCCATCGGGGCCGGGTGTGGGTTGCCAGCCTAGGACTTGCCCTCGGTGGGGTTGTACTCCGTTTCGCCAGCTGAGACCTGGGAGATGCGGCGGGTGGAACGCCAGAGCCGCCGGTGGAACTGGCCGGGGCGCACCTAGGGGAGGGGGAGGTCAGCAATTACCCCACAGCTCATCTCCATTCCCTTCCATATCTCCATTCCCATCCTCTTCCACAGCTCCAAGCCCATCCTCATCTCCTTTCACATCCCCAACTCCGTCCCCATCTTCGTCTCCTATTTCTTCCGCCAACTCCACATTCATCCTCACCCCCCATCATCCCATTCCAAGTTCCCGTTCCAGTCCTTCCTCCATCTTCTGCATCCATTTCCTGATCTGCATCCCCATCCCTATCCCCAATTCTTTCCTCAACCCCACCCACAACTCTCTCTCTTCTCCCACTTCCATCCAAACCCCACACCCTACCCTTGGGTGGATCCTCATTCCCATCCCCATCTCACCCATCTTGTCTGTCCTACCCCAATCCATCCCAACCATTCTGACCCAACCCAACAGTCCCCATCCTCACCCAATACACTCATTCTGCCCCACTCCACCCCAAACCATCCCAAACTATCAATTCTGTCCCATCTCATCCCACCTCAACCCACCCATTCTATCCCATCCCATCCTGACCAATTTCAACCCACCCCATTCCCTCCCAATCCACTCATACTCTAACCCATCACCATCCCTATCCCTCTCTGCTCTGGGAGCGATGAGGACAAGCAGAGTTCCCCAGTCCAGCTGAGCACAGGGGATGCATCTCTGTGGCCCCCCTCCACCTCCTGTCCTGACCTCCCAATCCCTATGGCTGTGCTCACCTCTGCAGGTTGCCCGGCCCCCACCACAATCAGCTTGCCATCCTCTAGCCCCACAAGGATGTGGCTCTTCTCCTTGGTCACCGACACGCTGTGGATGGGCACTCGCATGGGCAAAGGGTGCACTGCTGCCTGGAGGCTGCAAAGAAGAGAAGATGTGGCAGACTGGAACTTATGGGAATCTCAAGGGGGTGTAACATCAGATGTCACGTTGAGTGACACGGTTCAGTGGGCATGGTGGTGATGGGCTGATGATTGGACTCGGTGATGTGAGAGGTCCCTTCCAGCCTTAACAATTCAATTATTCTACCCCTCACCTCTGGAGGTCACGGATCTCCAGCCCACACTGCATGGTCCCCAGCACCACAAACTCCTCCGTCATGCACATGGCCGTCACCTCCTGGTCCAGCGGGACGGAGGCAAGGTGCTTCCCATTCACTGAGTAGAGGTGCAGCGCGAATTTATCCTTCAAAAGAGAGCAAAATGAGGGATAACAGAGAGGAGGGAGTGGGGGACATGGGGACACCAGCCCTGCCGTGCCACCTCACCTTCAGGGAAGCGCGCTCACCCACAGCGGTCTGGGTGACAATCTGCCCCTCCGGCCCCACAGCCAGGTGGGTGATGGCAGCGGGCAGCGAGCTCTCGCAGGGAGGCCGCAGGGACTTCATGAAGAGCCCCCGTTGGATGGTGTGGATGATGATGGTGCCATCCTAAGGAGAAAGGGGACAAGGCAGCCGTGGTTGGTGCTGCCAACACCTAGAGATGAGCCACGCCACCTGCCCTGGCTGACCTTGGAGCCTGAGACAGCCATGTCCAGCTCGGTGCTGATGGCCACGCACGTCACCTCGTCATCGTGGCCGTACAGGACCTGGATGGGTTTGGGGGCCAAGCCGCTGGAAAACCCGCCCTGTTGGAGGGCACACAGGGACCTCAAGGACCTTGCTGTGCCACTGCACACTCCCAGCAGTGACTGTCTTCATGCTAAGAGCTGGCACAAAGTGCAGCTCCCTACCTGCTGCAGGACCTGCCACACCATGCAGGTGGTGTCCCGGGAGCCAGAAATGAGGTAGATGCCACACAGGTCGAGTGCCAGGCAGGTAACAACATCTGTGACATGAAGGGAGACACCGTTGAGCTGCTGCTCCTGTGCCAAGGTGTCTCAGCATCAGGTGGCACCGAGAGAGACGCAGAGATGGAGTCTGGGGAGATGTCCCTGCACAGTCCTGGCACCCCGTGGAGGGGGATACTGTACCTATGTGCCGGGTGATGTGCCCAATGACCTTCCCCTTGCCCAGCGAGGTGACGCGCAGGCTGTTGTCCCAGTGTCCCCCACTGAAGAGCAGTTTCCCATCGGGGGACACAGCCAGAGTGCGGGAGCACAGGTCAGCACCGGGGGCAAAGGGGCCCTGCAGGAAACGCTGGGTCCTGGAGTGGAGGGACATGGGATGGTGACAAGGATGCAGGCAGGTGAATGGCACCACCAGCACCCCACGATGCTGTGTGACCCAAGGAACCCAGGGACAGAGGAGATCCTTGCGGGCTCACTTTGCATTGGAGACGGTGGGGTCTTTGGTGAAGCTGAAGTAGTTGGAGATGTTCTTGTCGTAGGGCAGCCAGCTGTGGGTCCCCAGCAAGCCGTTGGCACTCACGGTGACCTGGGCAAAGGTAGTGACAGCTGTGACACGGCCCAGGGACACCCAACACCAGCATCCTCCAGTTCCCCTTTGCTCACCAGGACATCGGGGGATCCCTGAGTGATGAAGGAGTGCGCCTGGTTCTTGGGGACCACAGCTTGCACCAGGGACACACCATCGCTGATGCCCTGCAGGGAACACACAGTCAGTGGGTCCCTTCCTCATTGGTGCCCCTGCCACCCCATGTCCCTGTTCCCACCTCCACAAAGAAGGACTTGAGCTGGTCCAAGTTCTCAAAGACGTTGGGTGGACGGGTGTCCAGGCGTGCGAGCCTTCGGGCTGCACTCTCAGCTGACATCCGGGCAGGATGGGGCTCCTGGGGGGAGAGAGCCATGAAAACGGGGTAGCACCTCCTCAAACGAGGCAGGGGGCTTTGGTTTTTCCGAAGGAATGAGCCACCTTGAGCAGCTGGCAGGGTGTCTGCCCGAAGTTGCTGATGATACCCTCCAAAGCCTTCCTCTGTGTCTCATCAGCAATGGCATCCAGGTCCACAGCACCTGGGGATGGGGGTGTCAGTGAGGCCGCCAGTGGGCACCCCCCCCCCCTGTCCCCCTGGCTCACCCTCATATGTGCAGTAGTAGAAGACGTTGAGGGCCTCCACAGCAGCTGGGCCTCGCTGTTTGTACCCAAAAATGAGATCGATCCACTCGTGGAGGTGGGCTGAGACGTACTCTGATTCCTGAGTGGACACTGGGTGTCAGCAGGGCTGGGAATGCCCGTTTTCTCCCCAAAACAATCCCACTCCAGCATCTCACCAGGGCTTTGCGGTGTTGGTAGATGAAGTCCTCATGGGAGCGTGCCCACCGTGGCAGCACCACGTCGCTCACCTTCTCGTTGGACATCTGCAGGCAGCCCAGATCGAAGCCTGTGGGCAGAGTACAGCCAGCAGTCAAGGCTACAACCATCCTGTCCCCATCCCCATCCCCGTCCCTCCATCACCATTCTGGTTCTCCAAGAATTCGGGGAAGTAGAAGAACTCAGGGATGAGCTCCTTGACGTCCACAGGGTTCTCCATGCGGGCTTGCCATGCTGCTGGCACCGAGTGGAACTGCCGGTCCGAGCAGTCGAACCTGGTGGCACGGGGCATCTGTGGGACCCTGGGGGTGGCCGTGGCTCTGCCCCAGGCCCTGGGTCCCACTGCTGGGTGCTCACCGGCCGCTCTGAAGCTGGATGTGCAGCGTGGTGAAGGGCTCGGTACGGATCAGGTAGTGCATGACGCCCGCTGCGTTAGAGTAGTGCGTACCGTAGTGAAACTTGTCCACAGTGCCTGTGGGGTCTTCAAAGCTCTCATACCTGCGGTGGCAAAGCAGGGGTGTCAGGGCAGGAGCTCTGATCCCTTGGTCCTTCTTTTCTGGAGCCACTCACTTCTCCTTCACATCCCGTGCATGCCTCTCATTGGCGACCCCAATGGGTTTGGACAGGTCCCGAAACACAGATGGGTTGGTGAGGTCAAGCGTCTCCGAGACGTAGTCCTGCAGGATCCAAGGGAACTGGGTGGGGAAGGAAGTGAGTCAGGTTGGGGGGCTTCCAGGGCCACTGTTCAGTTTGGGGAGGGGACGCAGAGTGCTCACCACGGGATACTGTGAGAGGTCATTGTAGGTGCGTCCTGCAATCGTATTCAGCTGCATGAGGTACTCAAAGTTGGAGATCTCCCGCAGAACCCATTTCTGGAGCAAAGAGATGACGGCAGAGGTGGATGTGGGGGCAGAAGATAGAGCAAACTCCATAGCTGTCCCCACTAGGGGCAACCCTTCATCCTCTCTCAGGAGTATATGGATACCTGGGTGAGCCCTGAGGCTTTCAGCAGCTCCTGAGGTGAGCGGCTGCCAAAGTAGATCTGGTTGGGGGGCCGTAAACCCAGGATGCAGGAGTAGACCTTGTTCCTCACCTGCAGGGATGGAGATAGGAGCCCTGGTGAGCTCAAGGTCCCCACGCAGACATTAACATAGCCCTAGGACATTGAGGAGGTGCCTGGCTGGAGACTAGGGGATCTAGGGTGCTGTCACCTTCTTTTTGAAGTTGAGGAAGTAGTTGGCCTGGTCGATGAAGAAGAGCTCAAGTGCAGAGCGGCGCAGGTTGTAGCGGCGCAGGTGAACCTCACGCAGGTGGGACAAGGGGCGCTTGAAGTCATAGCCAATCCCTGCAGGGACAGCACAGAGCACCACAGGCTTCAATGACCCACAGCACGGAGACAAGGCAGGGGATGAGGTAGAAACTGGGGACAGCACCACCCCAGGGAGCAGCCTGGGCCTGGCCCACGTCAAGGAAAGCACCCTGAAAGGGTCAGCATGCACGGAGATGGACTTCAGGGGGGACAGGGGATGGACAGAGGCATCTTCATTCCACTTGAGGAGCAAGGACACACTCTAACTTTTCTAAGACCAGTGATTAAGCAGAGATTGAGCCTCAGTCACCCCATCCCAAGCTCTCCCAGGCACATGTTGTTACCTCCCTCTGTCTCCTCCTTTTCACTGCTGCCATCGTAGAAGTAGACATGCTGGGTTGTCACCTCCAGGCGGCCAGGGACAACAGCCACCGTTGTGATGAGCTCGCAGTCCTCTGAGACCACCAGCTTCTCCCGCTGGTTCTGCTCCTTGGGCTCAGCCCTGAGTGACACAGGGTGGTGAGAACACTCCCAGCCTGGGGGACCAAGTGTAATGGAAGGGGATGGGGACACTCACTGGATGTCCAGGATGGGGAGATCCTCCTCAGCCAGCTGGTCGTCTTCCAGCTCGCTCACCTTAGCCTCCTTGGCCATGGCAAGTGGGAGGGACTCAGCAGGATTGTGGAGGTTATCAGCTCCTGAAATGAGGAGGGGTCAGTAAGCATCACACTGGCAGGGGGAACAAGGGGTCAAGGAGCCCCTAGGAGCCTCACCCAGGTTGTCCCGCAGAGCGCTGGCCTCCAAATGCTGGTCAAAATTCAGGTTGGGCACCAGCTTCAGCCGCATCCTGGAGTAAGTCTCAGCACTTGACAGCTTCCAGCGAACCTCGGGTGGGTTCCTGAGGGCGGGATGGAGTAAGGCAGCCCAGGCCCCCATCTGTGATCCCCTGCATCCAAGGGGGGGGACAATGGGTGCTCACCGGTCAGCCCAGGCGGAGCGAGGTGAAGTGAGGAGGCGGCACAGGGAGCGCCACTGCTTCAGCACTGTGCTGTGGTGGTTGTTGGCTTGCTTGAGCACGTTGGCATGCCGGGCATTTTCAGCCTTGGTACGTTTTGCCACTGGCTCCAGCACCAGCTCCTGCCAAGGGAGAGGGAGGGTGAGGTAAAGATGGGACCTGGGGAGGTCCCAGGGGCAAGGAGCGCATCTCTGGGATGATATCTCAGAGCTGAAGAGCATAACATTCATATCATTGGGACAGTATTTCTTGGAGTGTGGAGGATGTCTCCAGGATAACATCCCTGAGATGAGGAGCACATCCCCAAGATCATGTCCCCATGGTGAGAAGCATGACCCTGGGGTGACCCTCAAATGATGACCCTGGTGTGAGAAGCACGTTCCTAGGGTCAGGGATATCATCATGCAGCTGTGCTCCAGGGGTATGGAGTACGTTACTGGGATGATGAGAACCCTGAGATGAAGAACACATCTCCAGGATCATGTCCCCAAGGTGAAGAGCACGATGCTGGAGTGGGGAGCATGTCTTGCAGATGATGTCCCCAGGATAAGAAGGACATCCCTGTGATGACATCCAGGGGCAAAGAGCATATCACTGGGACAGTATCTCTGAGATGAGAAGGACGTCCCCAGGATAACATCTCTGGGATGAGGAGCACATCTCAAGGATCATGTCCTCAAGACGAGGAGCATGTTCCTGGGGTGAGGAGTATGCCCTCAGGGTAAGGAGCACAACCTTAGGATGACATTCTGGAGTGAGGAGCACATCTCCAGGATTACGTTCCCAAAGTGATGAGCATGAGGGAAAGGAGCATGCCCACAGAATGACATCCTTGGGTTTAGGACCACGGCCACAGGACGAGGAGCCCACCCCCATGGTAATGTCCCTGGGGCCAGGAGGAGGCAGCACCTGGAACATTTTCCTGCTGTCTGCCTTGTCCCGCTCCCTCCGCAGGGAGCTGCTCATCATGGCATCGTAGCAGGCATTCCAGAAGTTGGACATGTGGTCGTGGCTTTTGGCAAATGTGTCCATCTCAAACTGGGCCATGGTGGGCTGCACCTGAAGAGCAAATAGGGAAAAGAGAGATGTTGCAGGGCGCATTGGCACCAGCACCATCTATGAGCATCTCTTTTTTGGAGGTCAACTCTGCATGGAACTGTGCTGTCCCAGCCCAGTGGCAACGGTGGAACCCAGCTCCAACATGCTACTCAAAGTTAATCACAGAATCATAGAATGGCCTGAGTTGGAAGGGACCTCAAGGATCATGAATCTCCAACCCCCCTCCATATTTATTACTAGACCAGGCTGCCCAGGGCTCCATCCAACCTGGCCTTGAACACCTCTGGGGACAACTTCTCAGGGCAGCCTGTTCCAGCACCTCACCACTCTCACCACTTCCCTCTGACAGCTAAATCTTCCCTCCCTCAACTTCAAATCATTTCCCCTTGTCTTGCTGTTATCTGCCCTTTCAAGAGTTGATTCCCCTCCTGTCTGTAGGCTCCCTTTAGGTACTGAAAGGCTGTAATGAGATCACCCTGCAGCCTCCTTTCCTCCATGCTGAACAAGCCCAGCTCCCTCAGCCTATCTCCGTAGGGGAGGTGCTCCAGTCCCCTGATCATCTTTGCAGCCCTCCTCTGGACCCTCTTTAAGCTTCAGAAAGGTTCCCCAACACCCCCAGCAATACCACCCCATACCCCACGGCACCCACGTGCTTCTCAATGAAGCTCCTCCATTCAAGGGTGGTGCAGAACTGCTGGAAGTCCTCATAGAACGTGGGGCTGCCATTGGTGGGAGGCAACGAGGGCAGGAACTGCTGCAACTGCAGAGTCTCGTAGCACTGGTCCATGAGCGTGCGCACAATGGGCACCAGCCAGGAGAAGGTCTCTGATTTGGCATCCAGTGAACGCTGCAGTGGGGTCTCCAGCTTGCCCAGCAGGTAGCAAGCTTCATCTTTTTTGGGGGCTGTGGAAGTCTGCAGCAAACTGTGCAGCTTCACGTAGGCCAGTGAGTGCAGCTTAGGGGACACAAACACACAGATGGGGCATTAGATGGAGCCACCCAAAAGCACTGAAGTCTGCTCCGGAGCCCAGGGAAGGGGTGACCTACCTGGGGGTCCTGCAGCAGGATGTAGCCCACCAGGATGCGCAGCCCTGTCTGGGCCATCTCCTTGAGGTCAGAGGTGCCATTGGCTGGGTGGTACCAGACACCCAGCTTGTCCAGAAGGCTGCTCACCCCCTCATAGATCTTGGGGTGGGGGGAGAAAGGGGGACACAGTGAGTCCTCACAAAGCCAGCAGATCTGTCCCCAGCTCCCAGACCTCACTGACTTTGCTTGCTGTGGGTTTGCGTTATGGGTAGGGGATGGGATGAGTGTTGGGGTTAGGGCAGGGAATTAGGTGAAAGCATGTTTGGCATCAGGGTAGCAGGTCGGGGCTTAGAGTGTGGGCTTATGGTAATGGTGTAGGGCTAAGATTAAGTGTTAGGATTGGGATTAGGTCTGATTAGATTTCCAGGTTATAAGTTAAGTTAGTGTTTAGAATATAGGGGTAGGGTTATGGGTCTTATTATAGGTTTTAAATGAGGGACAGGGTATAGGATTAGAGATAGGACTAGATATAGGGTTTGGGCACATGGTGGTTGTGTAAGGTTAAGGGGTTAGGATGAGGGTGTAGGGCTAGGTTATAGGATTGGGGTTAACAGTTAGAGTATAGTGTTAGGGTAAAGGTTTAGAATCAGGTTAAGAGGTCAGATTTATAGATTATGGGCTAGGACAAGGTTTTAGAATTAAAGCATGGGTTAGTTTATAAGATGAGGTTTATAGGCTACAGGTTAAGGGCAGGGTTGAGGGTCAAGGATTAACAGGGTTAGTGGTTAGCATTAGGGTTAGGTTTACAACAGGGTGTTCTGTTAGATTTAGGGTTAAGACTTATGGTTAGAGCTGGGGCTTATGGCAAGAGCACACGGATGGAGCTTAGATTTAGGGTTAGTTTTAGAGGTTGGGGCTGGATTTACAGGTTATGGACTAGGTTTCAGAATTAGGCCATGGGTTACTTACTAGGGTTAGGCTTGTGTTAGGGGCTGGGTTTAGGGTCAGGGCTGATTCCAGGGTTAGAGAGTAGCACAAAGGTGTAGGGTTCGACCTGGGACCCTGGCTGCAGCCACGCACCTTCTCACTCCACAGGGCCTGGTTGTTGTGCCCCTCGGAGAACAAGAAGTCCTGGAGCAGTCGCAGCAGCTTGAGTGCATTGTGGGTGAGGCCGGACAGGGCAGCTGGCCCCGACTCCTTCAGGTCCGTCAGCGCTGACTCCAGCATCATCTCCAGCAAGCTGTGGGATAACAGGTGGCTCTGCAGGGTAGCCACCACCCCGGAACAGCCCCACAGTACACCCACAGAGCCTGTATTCCCCCTGCAAACCTGCGCTTGATCTCATCGGGGGACCGCACCAGCTCACACGCCGTGCCCAGCTTGGTGAGGACGGAGAAGACCTGGCCACGCTCCCTCCATGCAGCATCATCCCAGCCCTCCACCCCGCGCCACGTCACCGAGAAGATGATGTTGGTCAGGAGGTTGCACAGTTCCTCCTCAGGCGTTTGCTACCACGGGAGGGGGAAAAGCATTAGAGATTCCCAACAGTATCACCTTTTTGGGCAGTGCGATGGATTTGGGGCTCACCTGAGGGTTGCTGGTGTTGGAGATGTTGTCACTGGGCAGAGCATCCTGGTAGCTGCTCTCATCCAGCACATTGGAGAGGCTGGAGCTCTTGCGGTTTCGCATTCCTGGAAAGGGTTTGAAGCTCTCCAGGGGTGAAGGGGTTCCGGGGCCGCTGGCAGGTGTCTGTGCACCACTCTCAGCTGTGGCAATGGAGCTGGTGCTGGCCAGGTCAAGCCCCAGGTCAAAGGGTGAGGTGGAGAAAGGTGAGAGTGGGTGGTAGACCCCATCAAAGGGGACATCCCCAGGGTTGGAGGAAGAGCGGCTCGCCCGGTCGGAGGAGTCGAAGGACTTGAAGTTGTAGGAGTGGAAGGACTTGGTGCGACCACTGGGCGAGATGGAGTGGTCGGAGAAGCCCTCAGAGAGCTCCTGGTCTGAGGCTTCATATCCCAGTGGCAGGAAGACGTCCACCTCCTGCAGCTCAGCTGGCAGCGGGCTCATGCTGCCCATGCTGTCCTTGCCCACCTCAGTCTCCTTGCTGGGGTGGTCTGTGAAGCGGAGGAGCTCAAGGCAGCCCCCACTGCCCGAGTGGCTGAGGCTGTGCTGGCGGGACTCATAGGACTCCTTGACATACAGCTTGGTGAGCGTGTCCTGCCAGCCCGCCAGCCTGGCCAGCTGCCTCACCATGTCCTGCTGTGCGTAGATCAAGTGGAAGAGCTACAGAAAGAGAAGAGGAGGGATCCAATGGAGTCACCTCAGCTCTTCTTGGGGTAGCTGGACCCTCTGAATGGCGGGGGATGGATGATCACCAAAGGCTCTGCTCACCTTGCGGCAGATATCAAGCCGGACAGTCAGGTCAGCCCGGTGGGACAGGTAAACCACAGCCACCAGGTCCTTGTAGTTAGGAGGATCTGCAGGCAAAGAGAGAGGGCTTTTTGTCTCCCAAAGCGACAAAAGGTCCCCAGGCTTACCCCCAGCCAGCTGAGCCCCGTGGTAAGCCAACAGGATGGCCTTTGTGGTATGATTCAGGATGGGACAGGGTGGACTTGGGCAGGACACACGGTACCTGCCCCAAGGACCTGCTCTGAGAGGCAGCGGAAGAGCAACATGGAACTGGGGATGTCGCTGAGGCAGGCAATGAGCCCCTGGTACCCAATGTCCTTCAACTTCAGGCGGCTCTTGCAGCGCTCAGGGACCTTCTCGTACTTCAGCATCTTGTAGAGCACCTGGCAAGGTAGAGAGGGATGATGATGCTGTTGTAGGGACACCCCCAGCCCCAAGGGACAATACCAGAGACATATCTCACCCTGAAGACTCTTTCCCGTACTTCATCTGAGAACTTCTTCTGTACCAGCAGTGAAAAGAGGACTTCCACATGGCCTGGCTCAAAGAGGAAGGCAAAAAGCTGCTCCTGGGAGGGCGAGCCCTTCAGCAGGCTGTGTATCACCTCCAGTGCTCCGCAGACCTACAGGCAACAGGGACGGCTGCATGCTGTCCTCCATGCACCCCCACTTGCCTGTTGACCACTGCCAAGAGCAGGGGCAGCCCTAGTTGTCTGGGGACAATGTTTAGGGTGATTTGGTGGGACCTGGATGGCCTGAACTCATACCTGCTGCTCATCCTGTGCTGCGGCCACATAGTTCAGCAAGCTCTGCATCTCCTCCCCAGAGAAACTCCTGCAGAAAAAATCCTTCACCAGGCTGAAGAGGGATGTCTGTACCGTTTTGATGTCATCAGTAGCTGTGGACTTCTCCCTGGAGGAACTGAAGAAGAGATGCATGTGGAGGATGCCCCATCCCTGCACACACTCAAGGTCAGGCTGTGTGGGGCTCTGAGCAACGTGATCAAGCTGTAGGTGTCCCTGTTCACTGCAGGGCAGTTGGATCAGATGACCTTTAGGGGTCCCTTTCAACTCATATTCTATGATACTCCCACTGGGTAGTACATAGCCACCCTCTTTCTCTTTGTCCCTCATCATCAGCACAACCCCAAATCCCAACATGAAGCCTGAGCAACTCCTGGACAGTGAACATCCCTTCAGGCCAACTGTGCACACAAGACAACATTTACCCCATGTATTGGGTCTCTGAAGGGACAGGGCACAGGGCGCAGAAGCGCTTATCGCAATGCTTCCTTGATATGCTTGCAGGGGGAATATAATCCCAAATAAAAGCATCTAACCCAATGTGCAGCTCCCAGAGACCAAGCCCACCATGGTGCTGGTGCCTGGGGGCTAGATGCCCCAGCTACAAGCAGCAGCTCACCCGTAGTACGTCCGGATGGAGTCGAGGATGTATTGCACCCCGTATTTCTTACGGATGCGCTGCTTGTGGTCCTTGACGACGTTGGCCAGGTACTGGATGTGACCTGCATGGAGAGGCCGTGAGCGGCCCTGGTGGCCACACCACCATCCCAGGGATCCCTGCAGATGCCCCTGCTCCCACCTAAGCGGACAGCAAAGTCGCTGTTGCTCCAGATGCGGAAATCAAAGAGGAGATGCTGGTAGAGGAGGTGCAGCAGCAGTCCACTGCCCTCAGAGGCCACTTGCTCCATCAGGATCTGCGAGGCCATCAGCGTGCTCATATCCAGCAGTGGGCTGGACACCTGCCCAGGGTGAGAGGGAAGGTTTGTAGCATGGGGAGAGACCCAGGATGGAGCCTGGTAGCTGTGGCAGCCCCCACCTTCTGCAGCAGCGCACCGATGATGGCCGGCCCGTGGCACTGCACCAGGCTCTCCTGGTTCACTGGATGGTTGCGGATGAAGTTCTTCACAAGCAGCAGGAAGGCAGCCACGCTGTTCCTTTCCAGCCTGCTCTCTGCAAGGCACAGGGCAGAGCTGGGAGCCATCAGCCCTGCTCCCTGCGGGCTTCTTCCCACCTCTGACCATGATGGGCATCCTGGTGACCCTGTCACCGACTTTTCTCCATATACTTGCCATCCCATTCACCCATTTCCCTCCAATTTAACTGAGTGGAAACCTCAGCTGCTCTGAGCTCCCTGAAAGTTAGTAGGAAGAAATCTCTCATTTCCTATGGGGGCTAAGGCTTCTGCATGAACCTAAGTGTACGATAAGACATCAGAGACTAAAAGCAAAGTCAAAACGGAGGTCAGCAAGCTTGAATCACCCTCATCTTCCCAGAACTTCTCACTTATGATTAATTTGGTCATAATAACCTGAAAATACGTCAGCAACAGCAAGGTTTCTCCGTAACATCATAAATCTTGGTGTTCTGGGCATGACAATACCAGCCAGGCGTAGGCAGCATCTATGTGGCAGTGGGGTTACCTCCAGCCACCTGAGCAGTGTGGCTCCTGCCCCACATCCCCCTCAGAGTCCTCACCTGAGGACCTGCCCAGTGGGATGAGCATGCCCTGGGCGTTCCTGGAGGACGTCAGCTCTGGCCCCACGAGGTCATTGGTCTCCTGCTCGTCCTCAGATTCCTCCTTCTTGGTCACCACTTGCTCAAGCAGGGGCAGCAGGACACCCATCCCACCCACACAGTTGACCACGTCCTGCCAAGAAAGGTGAGAAGGTTTGCTGTGTGCTCCCGAGTGCTGCATGGTGATGGTCGTGTACAGAAGGCAGAGCCAGGGATCCACAGGACCTATCCTGCCCAAGGGACAAGGCCCTAAGGCCAGCAAAGAGTGAAATATGCCTTGACCTATCCTACAACACACACCTCCAACAGGCTGCTCAGAAGCATGTGTTCCCCTGCAGTGACCATTCATGGAGCCCAGTCTGGACACTGAGAGCCCACAAGGCACAGAGGTCCTTGGGAGGGCCATGGAATATGCTGGATTTCGGTGGAGCCGTAGGTCCTTGCTGGAACCAATACCATCTACTCCCCCAGCTCCCCTGCTGGGGAACCACCTTGGCCATGTAACACCTCACAAAAGTCCTGTCCTGAACCCAAAGGTACCCCAGGTCATGGGGTCAGGATGGGCCACCTGGCACCCAACATACCTTGACATCCCAGTTGACCACCTTATGTCCCGTCAGCCTCCCGTCCAAACCATGGCTGGGAGAGAGGTCCAGGCAGATGTTATTTCTGCAGGCCTAGAAGAGAGCATCCCAATCTATGAAGACAGTGGACATTTGCTGGGCACAAGACAAGAGGGAAATTAAAATAAGGAAGGTTTAGAATAGATATTAGAAGGAAATTTTTTACTCAGAGATTGGTGAGGCACTGGAACGGGTTGCTCAGAGAAGCTGTGGATGTCCCACACCTGGCAGTCCTCAGGGCCACTATGGCTGGGGACTGGGGCAACCTGATCTGGTGGATGGTGACCCTCCCCATGGCAGGGATTGGATGTGGATGGGCTGTAAGGCCTCTTTCAACTCAAAACCAGTCTGTGATTTTATGGTTCTATGATATGATCAGTGTGTGACCCATCAAGAAATCTCAGTGGGAAAAGATGGGAAGGCATGGACATAGGCTCAACATCCCCCACACAGAGAAAGGTCCTGGTGAGTTCAGGTGAAGTGAGAGCTTCTTCATGGGTCTGTCCTCACCTGTGGGGTGTAGTACAGCAGAAGCTTGCTGCTGAGCTCCACAAGGTCACCTTCCAGTGTAAATGGAGATGCGATGTTTGGACCTGAGCAAAGAAAGAGGGGTCAGTGGAGAAGGGCTGGGGATGCATTTGCCACCAGAAGCCTCACCGACGTGTGCAGCTCTTACGTACCCAAGCAGAAGAGTGCCTTGACCTGGGTTTGCTGCAGCACTTCACAAAAGATAGCCACAGAGCCCAGGTGGCCCTCGAGGGAAGTAGGGGTGCCCCACTCAGTATCCTGGCTGCCAGCTGCTGTGGTGGACACCACTCCCTCGGTGGGGGGCTGCAGGGGGGTCCAGACGTGGGGTCCCAGGGTGGCAGGGAAGGACTGTGAGCGGCAGAGCACGGGATGTGGGGGGAAGGTCAGCTCCAGCCCATGGGACGGCGGTGGGTGGCTGCTGCTGGAGGCTGTTGTGGTGGTGCGGTGCCCCGCAGAGCCAATGCAGCAGGAGGTAAAGGACTGCATGGGAGAAGAGATCATGGGATCATTTCAAGAAAAGACCTTTAAGGTCATCAAGTCCAACTGCGAACCCAGAACTGTCAAATCTAGCTCAAATAGCTGAAATAGCTCCCTCTGCACCACATCTACAAGTCTTTCAAATACTTTCAGGGATGGTGATTCAAATTACTTCCTTGGGCAACCCGTTCCGATTCTACACAATCCTTTCAGTAAAGAAGTTCTTCCTAAGTTCTTAAACACCTCCAAGGATGGTGACTCCCCCACTTCCCTGGGCAGCCTGTTAAGGAGCAGTATTCAGTTCCCAGCCAGTGTCACAGAGAAGGATGGTGCAGTGCTGGGGATGGCCCTGACCTCGTGGAGGGATGGGAAGCGAAGCTGTGCTGTCTTCCGTAGATGTCCATCTGCGTAGATGCTGACCACATTCTGGCCGAAAGGCCGGCGGCCAGCGACATGGACAACGTCAATGCAGTGCTGTGGGGACAAGCAAGAGGTGTGAGGGGTATTCCCCATCACGAGGACGGCGATGGGGACATCACTCACCCAGGATGAGTCGTTGAAGGCCACCTCCGGCAGTGCCACCGTCATGTAGTCCTTCTTGGTGCAGACAGCTACCACCAGCATGCCGTCGGTGGTGAAGAAAGCCTCAAAGCCCGTCCCACTGGCTGTGAAGAAGCTGAAGAGAGGACAGCGCAGTGGGGACAGTCGCATCTTACCATCCTCACCCTCACCACCCCATCCTCACCTGTAAAGCTGTCTCCTCTTCGGTCTCGACGGTGGCCCGAACTCCTCCTCACTGAGGCAGAGCCAAGCATGGAAGGCGAAGGCACCTCCAGGCCACTTCTGGACGGCAGGCACCATGATCCCTGCCATGCCAGGTGTCAGGTCGAAGTACTGCAGTGCCCGTGGGGGTCCCTCAGCCCGTGCCATTCCCGAGAGCACGCGCAGGACTGGAGCTGTGTAGGGGTGGGCGCCCCGGCCCCGTTCACGCCTCAGCAGCCTCAATAGCTGCCGCAGCTCCCCAGGCCGGATGGAAAGCCTGCCCAGCACACGTAGCAGCTCCAGCAGGTTTTCAGAGCAGGCAGCTGGAAGTGCTGGCTCTGAGGCCAGAGCAGCCAGCAGGCTGCCCACCATGCCTGACTTGACGCAGGTGAGGCGGCTGGGCAGAGAGGCCTCGCATAGCTGCCGCAGCCGCTCTGAGAGGAAGAGCTGCAGCTCACGGCATGCCAGTGCTGGAAGCCAGGCCAGAAGCAGGAGCAGAGGCTGCTCATTGCGGATGGGGCGTGCTGGGAAGGAGCTGTGGTCACCTTCTACTGCCTGTCGGAATACAGAAGATGGTTGGTGAGGTCCTCACCACACGGAGAGACGAATCCTCTCCTAGCCATTTTGGATACGTGGTGGAGACCTCTGTGTACTAAGCACTTTGGGAAACCCTTGTCAGCCAAGTGTCTTGGGAGGCCCTTGTGCACATCATTTTGGGCCCCCATGCTTTAGGTGTGTTGGACACCCTCATGCACCAAGTATCTTGGAGACTCCCCTTCCCAAGGCATCTTGGGGACCCCTATGCACCAAGCATCTTGAGAGTCTCATACATGAAATCTTCTGGGAGACCTCCCTGCACCAAGTGCCTTGGAGACCCTCTGCAAAGCAAAACCCTTTGTGCACCAAAATTTTTGGGGAACCCCTGCACCAAGACTCCTGGAGACCCTCATGCAACAAATGACAGACAACCCTGTGCACCAAGCACCTGGGGAGATCCTCCTGCATTGAGCACCTTGAAGACCCCCACACACCCACCCAACAGTCCCAGAGCAAAGAGCACAGCATTCAAATAGGCTCGAATCTCCCCAAAGCTGAGCATGATTCAAAGTTGAAGACAGTGTGACCACATTAGGAGGGGGACCCAGAAGGGACTGGAGATGAGAGGGCTGAGATCAGCCTAGCTGCTCCACCAAGGTGCCAGCATAGAATATTTTGCTTAGAGCGAAGGAGAAGAAGGCTTATGGGAGATGGGAAGGCTTCTGGATTAGCCAAGGGAGTGTTTACCATGTTGAGGAGCTCCTGAAGCAGGCGCTGCGTGGGCTGGCCTTGGCTCCTCAGCACCTCGTAGAGATGGGCATAGCCAATGCGCTCCTTAAACACCTCCTGCAAGCATGCACATACATGAGGTCCTACAAAAGCCCTAGGACGAGCTGCATCACCCCAAGGCATTTCTTTGGGGTGAAAAACCCAAACCCCATCTGTGCTTGGGGACATCCTCCTCCCATTCCCACCTTTGCAGAGGGTGAGTTGCTCATGATGGCTGTGAGCACACTGATGGCATGGACTGCGATGGCATCGGAGCCGCTGTCGAAGACCTGTGGGACAGGTGGTGGGTCAGCTGTGGGCATCACCCCTAATCCTACCAGGCAGCTGAGTGAGGGGTAGTTTCTCAGAATACCTGCTGGAGCCCATTGCTGGCTGGTGGCTGCACAGAGAGCTTGTTGTAGGCTTCACCTGCGTCCTGTGGACTGTTGAGGTAGAGCTGGGGCGAGGAAGACAGAGACCAACAGTGGGTGGTGGAGGGATTAAAAATAGGGTTATGAACCATTCCTGCCCTGCTCTGGGGTACAGGGATGGTGCTGGAGTGGCTCCATCCCAGCACTGCTCAGGGTGTTTACAGTCACAGAGGCTGAGGATGGTGCAGGTGAGGATGCTGCAGTGCATGCAAGAATAACTTTTTACATGGGCAGATAGTGATAGGACAAGAGAAAATGGTTTTAAACTAAAAGAGACGAAATGCAGGTTGGATGTTAGAAGGAAATTCTTTACACAGACTGCTCAAAGCAGCTGTGATCCCTGGCCAGGCTGGCTGGGGCTTCAGGTGCTTGGTCTATGGGAGGTGTCCATATAGCAGGGGGTTGGTACTGGATAGGCTTTAAGGTTGGAACCATTCTAAGATTCTGTAGTTCATTCCATGACCTCATCTCAAAGCCCAACCCTGCTGTGTGCAGGCATACTGCAGCACTCTGGTACCTTGCTGTTCTGGAGGAGGCGGATGATGTGCTCGAAGCAGTTATTGCTCAGGAAGACGGCCTGCAGGACCGGCCGGTCATCACAGCTCAGCATGGCCGGGATGGCATCTACAATGGGCAGAGTGGGGAACAGGGCTCAGCACCCACTCTGCCACCCCTCTCCCATGCTCCCAAACCCTGCTCCAACTTACCCAACATCTGCACCCGCAGCGCGATGAGCCCTCCGGCCGCCTCCGGTGACACAGTGGTGGGGTCAGCGTTGAGCACTCTGAAGTACCCATCCAGCAGCACTCGCAGGGGCACAGGGCCAGGGCTGCTGGCATGTAGGGCATGCACTGCTGCCACCACACTGCTCAGTGTCAGACCCAGCAGCCCAAAGCACGGCGGGGGCCCTGAGCTCACCCGGCGCAGCACTCCCAGCAGCACCTCCAATGCTGCCGGCGTAATGGCTTGCAGCGCGTTGGACTGTCAGGGACAAAAAGAAAATAATAAAAAAAAAATAACAAATCTTTTTAATTTGGCATAAAATCCCATATTTAAGTCAGGTCAGGTGTTCAAGGCCAGGTTGGATGGGGTCCTGGGCAGCCTGGTCTAGTTTTAGATATGGAGGTTGGTGGCCTTGCCTGCGGCAGGGAGGTTGGAGCTTCATGATCCTTGAGGTCCCTTCCAACCCAAGGCACTCTGTGATTCTATGATTCTAAGAATCTATGATATCTGCACAATGCATTGCTGCTTTCCTGCCTGCTTCTGGTATATGCAAATTAACTCCAAGCACATTTCAGAGCTGTTAATCAAGCTCTGCTTTCTTAAGCACCGGGTTGATTAGAACTTGCGTGTGCTCAGCACTGATTTTTCCAGCTGAGATGCTCTCAGCTGCATCCCAGATTTGAACATGTTATTGCTGGTGAGCAAGCTCTGCCGGATCAGTTTCAGTTTAGATATCTCCTTAACTTAATTTTTGCTTTTTAAAGGTAAAACCATGAATTTTGGCTTGCAATTTTAACTGTGATTCTATAAGGTTTTGCAGAATTAAGGTGTTTAATTGCAGCAAAGCATCTCACTTGTAATAAATAAGGCTTTGCCGTTTAGTCTCAGCACAGTTTGGGGAGTGAAGGTTTGGCAGAGCAGTGTTGTCCCCCGTGCCCCCATCCCACCTTGGCCCCAGAGAGGATGGCTCCAAAGAGGTGGATGAGCCGGAGCTGGAGCTCGTCGGGGAGCTGCCCACCAGGCTGGAAACATTCTGCAAGTACAAGAGAGGTGGCAGAAAATAAAAGGCAGAAATTCCCCTCTCTACCCATCCCACAACCTACCCTTGACCTTGTTGTTGATGGAGGGGGGATGGAGTGCAAACCCCTCAGCTATTTTCAGCTTTGGCTGCAGCACGGGAAGATTGCTGTTGTAAAATCTAGAGGTTTTGGTTCTAAAATCAGGTTCAGCTGGGGAATGGGGATTCACAGCCAGCACCACTAACAGCTTGCTGGGACTTTAGGTGCTTTCTGCAGCCCCCTAACCCAGAGAGGGTTTCTATTTCACAGGTCAGTGATGGGGTTTTCAGAGCTTCCCCAGCCAAGCTGTGTTTCTGTCAGGTGCTAATAAAATAGGCCCAGCACTGTACACCATGGTGGATAAACAATGGATTTAAAACTCAGGGTTAATCACAGGATAATAAAAAGACTTCAGCTTTCAGGGATTGTTGCCCAGACCACACAAAGCAGGGGGGCTGCAGGGAGCAGTGATGGCTGTACCTTGGAAGAAGGTGTCGAACTCAGGGGGCAAAGCGGCGGGGGCGAACTTGTATTTGCTCTTCTCCTTCGTGCTGACAACTTCTCTGGAAGGAGAGGAATGAGGAGCAGGGAGAAGAAGGGTACAGGATGCAGGGATCCATGCCCCTGGTGCTCACCCGCTCAGCTGCCGGCGCCAGGTCTGGTAGGGGTCGAAGAGGCACTCGCAGAGGTGCAGGGCATACAGCATCACGCTCTCCAGCTGTGCCCCATCCTCCTGGCCACTGCGTAGCTGCCAGGGGCAGGCAGAGAAAGGTTAATCCCAAATAATATCCCCAATACCCTCCTATGCCACCTTTGTCCAATTGGGATTCATCCCTGTGCACAAAGATGCCACAAAGTGGTACCCAAGCATCCTTTTGCCCCCAAATGGTACCCAATAGGATTTAAGCCTGCACCCCAAAATGGTGCCCAAACGCTTGCTCCCATCCCACTTCTTTCCTCCTCTTTGCTACGATTTGGGGTCAGGTGGGTACAGAACAGCCCCTTCCTCATCCTGCCCCCATATCTGCCCTCCCAGCACTGGGGATTGGGGTCGTGACGATGGCAATGCTCACCTTGCTCGCACAGATCCGCAGCAGTGCCAGCACCTCCGGGATGAAGCCGGGGGTTTTGTCGGTTTGGACATTTTCGAGGTTTCTGCAAGGTGTAAATGCCATGGGGAAGGGGTGGTGGGGGAATAACACACCTAGAGAGGTGGATAAGTGCCGACCAAGGGCACGTCCTGGGCTGACCCCATCCTCCCACGCTACGCAGCCAAACCTCAAAGCCCAGTGCAGCCCCATTGTTCAGGACCTGGCTCCTATCCAGTGCTAAATATAAAGGCTTTGGTGGCTGGGAGGGGGGACAGAAGGACAGTCCTCTTGCTGGGGGAGCCTCTAGGGATGTTTCAGCAACAAGGGATTGGGTGGGAGCAAGCAGAGGCTGCCATCAGCACAGCCTTATCTGCGGTGTACAGGCAGCGGCGCCAGGAGAGCAGCAGGCAGGAAGGGGCCAGACGGCCACCACAGGGCCCCCCCCGGGAGAGGAACAGGAACGGGCAGGGAGTGGCTGCTTAATGGAAAGGAGTAAGGGGGGGGGAGTGGGGGATGCAATGCACTTGAGGGGCTATGATGCACCTGGGGAGGGCACAAGGAACGTAAGGGGACAAGATGCATCTTTTTTTTTTCTTTCAGGGAGGGAGACTGGTGCTTCTTTTCTGGGGGGTCACAACGCTCAGTGAGATTTTAGAGGAGTACGATGCACTTTTTGGGGGTCAGAATGTGATGTGTATTGAGGGGGACAATGTCACTGAGGGGCGACACGATGCATGTGGGGGGTACAGCACGTGCTGGGGGGAGACTGTGCTTTTGGGGCAGGGAATGGGGAGGACGCAATGCGCTCTTTTGGGGGGGACACGACACAATGAACTTTCAGAGTGGACTTTTGAGAGGGGAATATGTACTTTTGTGAGGGGAGTGATGCACTTTGGAGGGGGAGGATGGGGTGCAGCTGGGATCTGTCCATGGGGGGGGGATCCTGCACCCACCTGCAGATGATGATGAAGAACTTGAGGAGCAGCAGTGCCTGCCCGAGTCGGGGACCCTGCCCCACACACTGTGCCAGCCTCTGGCTCAGCACCTGCAGCACTTCTCGTGGCAGCACTGGGATCTCTGACACTGCCTCCTCTGGCCTGATGGGGGCGGGGGGAGGAAAATAAGTGAACAGAGAAGGGGGAAACGACAGGATGGGACTTACCCCCACCCCAACCCGGTGCTAAAAACCTCCCATCTGGGGCCGGATGGCTGCAAACCGCAGCGGATGAGCTGCAGCAAAACCCCAGAGCTGAGTTCTGACTGGGTGGGGGAGGGAGGAAAGGGAGAGGGAAGTGGTGTTTTTTTAATTTCTTTTTTTTGGGGGGGAAGAGGGGTCACCCTCACCTGCGGGGCTCCAGCGAGGGCACGGCTATGACCTTCTCAAAGTTCATGACAAAGGCCTCCAGCCACTGCTGCAGGTATGCCAGGTCCTTCTGCAACAGGGAGGCTTGAGTTGGTTTTTTCTTTGGGGTGGGGGCACCCTTGTAGTGCCCACTCCCGAAGGGCAGCTGGGTAGTGGTCAATCAGCTCCCGCTAGGGATCCATCCTCCAGCCAATCAGCACAGCCTCTGGGAACTGTTGGCCAATGGATGCCTGGCACGGATCCAGTGCCATGAAGACTGGCCAATCAGCATGCAAAACAATCACAACCCCCAAATCCTCCCCTCCTTCCAACCCCTCCCCCCCACCCCCCGAGAACGGTTGGCCAATCAGCACAGCAAGTGGCCACACACCCCTGGAGCCATCAGCCAATCAGCATGCAGAACAGCACAACCTGTGGATCTACTGACCAATCAGCACGCAGAGAAGCAAAACCTGTAGAGTTGCCAACCAATCAGCAAGCAGAGCACCTAGCTACCAGCCAATCAACAGCAACAGCACCTGGCCCTATAGGATGGTGCAGCCAATCAGCAGGTAGCGTGCGGGCCCCACTCCTCATGGGGTTGTGCAAGGGGTGATTCACCCAACGCTGTACAGCCATGGTTCCTGGATGTCCCTGTGCCTATACAGCACTCTGCAGTCACCCACATCCCTCTGCACCCCACAAAATGCCTTTGGGTTTCCATGTACCCTACAGAGCACCATAGGGTCACCTTATCCCTCTGCACAACAAGCAACACCTTAGGGTGACCCACATCTCCATGCACTCCACGGAGCGGCCTGAGGTGTCCAGGCACCTCTGCACCCCATGCAGAACCCTGGGGTCATGCCATGCTTCTGTGAGAGTAATGGAGCACCTTTGGGTGTCCATGGACACCATAAGGCACTATGGGATCACCCAAACCCATGTGTGCCCCACAGAGCACTTTGGAACGATGCATGATCCCTATGGGGCACCCCATGGTGTCCACAAACCACAGCAAGCACATTTGAATCACCCATGCCCTTGTGCACCCCACAGAGCACCTTGGGGTGACCCACGTCCCTATGCACCTCACGGAGCACTACAGCCCCGTGCAGAACCTCGGGGTGACCCACGCTTTTTGGGGTCACCCCTGTTCCCATGCATCTCATGGATGGGATCTCCCCATCCCTCTGCACCCCCATAAGCACTGTGGAATGTCCAAGCCCCTGTGCACCCCCCAAAGCACCCTTGGATATCTGTGCACCCCATACGGAGCACTCTGGGCTCACTCTATTCCCACATACCCCAACTTTGGCAGGGACTGTCCCTCCACCACCACCTGTGGGTCTACACCCCCCCCGGCACCAGCCCCCCAAAGCCCAGCATCCCGCAAGCCCCGCTCTCCCCTCAGCAGCTCACAAACCCTCCGCCGCCCCATTTAGAGGAGAGAAGCGCTCCTCCACAGCGCCCCAGGGGCAGGGGGGGGGGGCTCACACCCCATTACCTGTGGGGGGGACGTGATGATGGGACACCCGCACGGCTCCATGGCCCCCGGTGCCGCCACCGCCGGAGCGAGGACGAGGAGCGGAAACGCGCGCGGAGACATGCAGTGACGGGACCCGTGGGGGGGGTGTGTATGTGTGTGTGATGTTATTATTTTTTTCCTTCCACCCTCCCTTTAGTTTGCTTAAAACATACGAGAGACTCAGGAAATGCCAAGTCACTCGTGGCCCCAACGACATTTCCTCCGGCGGAGGCTCACGCGGGGCCACTGTCACCGCCGCACACGGGGCTGTGGCAGCATCCCGCCGTGCCACCGCCGCCCTGGGGACACCCAACCCCACGGGTGCAGCGAGTTGGCCCGTTCTCAGCATCCCGCCTCGGTGGCACCCTGCTGCTGTCCCCCTGTCCGGCTGTCACTGTCACCTTACCGCGTGCCCCTTGTCCCCATGCCGGCGTCCCATGGTGCGCCGCTCGCCCCCGCCGTGCCCGCCCCGCTGGCAGATCCTGTTGGGTGGCTTTGGGGCTCATGGCGCGGAGCCGCCTGGGAACGGAGCTCTCAGCGCCAGCACCTCTGTGCCATTGTCCCCGAGGGGTGACCCGTGTCCACATGCACCCTACAGCTAGGTCCCTACGGCAGTTCAGGTTAGGGTCTGGACCCCAGCGGTCCTGAGATGCTGCTGGCATTTGGTACCTAATGGTGACCCCTGCCCACCAAGAGACAGATCCCAAAGGACAACCTGCCTGGGGGGGCTAACAGCACTGGCTGTCATGGCACATGGCCCCATAAGAGCACACACACACCCCAATGCCATGGCACACGTTCCCACAGAAGTGTGGGGATGGCACTGTGCACACCCCATGTTGCCATAACACTATGCACACCCCGACAGCATGGCACCTGTCCCTATAACAGCACGCACACCCTGATGGCACAGCACACGTTCCCACAAGAGCACAACCACCCAAAGCCATGGCACATGTCCCCAAAAGAGCATGCAAACCCCGAAGGCATGGCACATGTCCCCAGACAGGAGTGCAAACCCCAATGACAACAGCACATATAACAGCACATAGACCCCAATGGCACAGCACAGAATAGTGCACATCCCAAAGGCACTGCGCACGTCCCTATAAGAGCATGCACGCCCTAATGGCACGGCTCAAGTCCTCATACAAGGTCTGTACACCCCAATGGCATAACACACGTCCCCACAGAACCAAGCACAGCCCCACGGCGTGACACCTGTCCCCTTAAGAGCATTCACATCTCAATGGCAATGGCACCTGTCCCCATAAGAGCACGCACATCCCTATGGCACGGCACGTGCCCCCATACAAATAAATGTGCATGCACACCCCCAAGCACGGCACCTGTCCCCATGTATCCCCCAGCCTGACCTCCCAGCACCTCCCAGTTCCAAACTGGTCCCCTCCCCTACTGACAGCCACCACTTCCTCCTCTGTGTTTCACCGTTCCCAAATCCCTTTTTCTGCCAATATTCAAGGCTCACAGTGCTGCTACTGGGGGGCAGGGAGGAAGAGGGGAAACCTGCAGACCCCCGGAGCTCTGTGCAGGGACAATCCCGAACCAGACGAAGCCCCCCCTGCACCTAACAAGCCTCGGTCCTAATGACACCAGCGTGAGACCGAAAGGCTTCACCACTCATCCTTAAAAGCCACGCTGCGTGCCACCACCACCCAAAACGCATCGTTTGGACCCAGAAAGAGGATGGGGTGGGTGGGGACAGCTGAAGGGATCCCCAGAGGTGGTGGCTTTGGGGGGGGTTGGGAACCCCTTGTCCTCCAATCATGGGGGATGCCTGCCATGTGGGGATGAACAAAGCTTTGGCAGCTTGAGAGGAATTAAATCTGATGTATGGGGGGGGGGAGAACGCAATGGAGTGGAACTCTCCCCAAGGTGTACGACCCCCACAAAGGTGTAGGACCCCCCTCCCCCCACTGCTTGCTCCAATGGAGAGCAATGAGCCCAGGACGTGGCTCCAATGTCATTGCGGCCGCACCTGCTGCTGGGAGGGGGGGACAGACACAAGCAGAGGGGGATGGGGGGGGGTTATGGAGCCTTCCCCAAGTGTGAGTAATGGGGTGGGGGGAGAAAAAAAAGGGGGTGTGCTCCCCGCCTTGGGCAGGAGGAACCAGACTGGGGAGGGGGGCATTGAAGCTCTGAATGGGGGTGGGGATAGAGGGGGATTTGGAGTTTTTTT